GAATTGAACTTCTATGGTCGTACCTAGGGTTGTTTCCTGATTAGAGAAATAGTCAACGGTCGTACCTTGGCTATCGACAAATTGAGGAAGAGTTGGTTGTTCATCGCATGTATGATAACTATAACTAATTTATCAGATAGTAACTGGAATAATCCTTGCATCTGTAATCGAATTAAGTGAACCATCTCCGAAGTTGTCTCTTGGCTAGGGTTCGTCCATTATTATTTTTATTGTGATAATTAGTTATTTGAGTTGTAGTTATTTTATTTTATTTTAATTTATTCCAAGTAATTTAGTTACTCTCATTTTCAAAAACCCCCCATACTTCGGACTCTAAAAGAAATAAATTATCCCCAGTCCCTGTGAATTCGATCCTGCTTATCATTATCTACAGAAATTATATTTTATTTAAGCAGGTATTTATTATTGCACAGGTCTGACACCCTGTCAACAAGAAAGATCGAAAAAAAGAGAAGGCCTGCAGTGTTTCATAATTTGTTCACGCTCCACTTTTTAGCAAAAGATACTGTTTTTTCATCAGCAACGCACATACTTGAGTGAGCTTCTATATTTATCAAGCAACAAGCAGCTTGTTTGGATTGGCCACTGTTTAGAAATAATTATATCATAAATACATTTTTTCAATCACTTTTTAATCTTAGAAGCAGCATATTACAGAAAATGCTAAAGTGCTACTGTATTATTTCAAAAAAATATTTTTTTTTCAACAATCTTCTATTTAAAGATTTCTTCAGGTAGCCCAACTAGGCCTCCACCCTGTTCTGAAACGAAGTGATCAGTTTTATTTTACCGCACATGGCCAACGATTACAATGACCAATTTTTACCGAATTGTCTTCTGTTAGGTATTGAGCAACCAATTAAAATTTATTAAGATCCAAAAACCCATTTTGTAGCCCTTTAGCAATGTCAAGGAGTTGGCTGACACCATCTTTATTAGCTTGTTTTAAAGCAATTGAATGTAATGGTGCTTTTGTTGTTGAATTTATCTTTAGTATTTGTCATGGAGCCATTTTCTGGGAACTTTAATAACATAGTAGAGGACTCAACAAATCAATGATAATGTATTGAAAGTAGTCCAAATATGCCAAGGTATCATAGCAAAAGTAAAAAAAAAAATACATTTTCAATAATTTGTAACATCTATTATCTAGTTAATTTTGCTAACTATATTAGCAATTGAGATCTTATAAATCAATGATAATGTAATAAAATTGGTCAAAAAAAAAGGTTAAGAGATAGCAGTTAGAATAAAACAGTATATTGTCATTAATGTTCACAGCTCTACCTCATTAATTGTGCGAATATAGTCATTGATTGAATTTAAATTGGACAAATTTGAGAGACTAGGGTGCCAAATGTCCAAAATTAAGAATTTAGAGCGTAACAGGTTCAAAATTGAAGTTTAAAATATAAAGTGAAAAGGCAATACAAGTCCAGAGGTGTAAAGTGAAATTACTATTGCGCATGACCCGTGATAAGCTTGTGTCAGTTAGCAACCAACCAAAAATTTATTTAACTGAATGCAATGATGTTTGTTTTGCGGAATTCATGTGCGAAGAAAAAAAAAAAAAAAAAAAAAAAGGCTGCTCCGCCCAATACTCCTTTTTATTTAGTGCCCTGCGCTTAGTGACCCGTGTTCAGGGAGCGATGACTTACACAAATGTTTGTTTTTGTTTTTCGACATTTTGTTATAGAAACGTCAGCCAAAAAAAAAAAAGGCACTATCAAGGACTATATAAAAAACCACCAGCTCTTGGGCTGGTGGCCACCACCAAAATGCCACTCTTGTGGTTCTACTTCAAATCCAGACGGGTGCACAACCGGTGGTAGTTCTGTCCCTATCGGTCCCCATAAGCTCAGTTGAGCCTCCCCGTAAATAGAGTAGGAGTAGGAGTAGGGATGACGATTAAAAAAAAGCACTATCAAGGACTATATAAATATAAGGCTGCATAAAGCACTATTAAGCACTTTATAAAGTTCTTTTAAAGCACTTTATAAAGTTGTATAAAGCACTATTAAGTACTATATAAAGCACTTTATAAATTTATATAAAGCACTATATAAAATGAACTCCATGATTTCATCCAACTCTAGGATTGGCCAAATTAGCTATTGTTCCTTACAGAGGCATATACAGATCATATTCACAAAGAACCTTGCAAGGCCTAGTTCCGATAGCTTTTGCAAGGAAGTATCTGCCATTAACATGCTTAGAATCTTTTCAAAATATCTCTCCATTTTCAAGCTCAGAAGGATATCTTTCCTATAGGTGCATGTATTCACGTAGCAAATAAAAAAAAATTGATAATCAAAAGTATATTCAAGTTAATCTAGTGAAAACATTACGGATTTGTTTCTTATTTGGATAGTTATATATTCCATTAGCCTGCAAGAGGAAACTGGGTAAAGTGCTTTTAAAAATAGACCACATTTTTGAACTATCACTATTTATACCGAGACACAAAACTTCCGGTTTACTCAGAAGATTAAGGTCGATCTTTGTTCATCAAATAACATGAATAAAGCACCAAGAATCCACCAAGTCAACAACTAATGGGTCGAAGGACTCTCCAAAACCCCAAATTCTGATCTGAAACATGCTAATAAGAAAGTAAAATTCAGGCGCCAAAAGCTGGATATGAACAACGCATCTGTTTTTTTCTTTTCAAGGAAAATAGTCATACTGAGAAGATACGTGAAAAAGCACACAGCTTTTATTATGAATCCAGAATCAGCTCTGGAATCCAATCAAATGGAATATAATAGATCATCAATCTCAAAGGTAAAAGCCCAATAAAAATGAAACATTTGGCCAAATGAAATGAAAATTTAAACAAGAAGATCAGACCTTTGCATCCCATCAACAGGGCTAACCAACGTTCAATATCAGTCCCCATAAACCATAACTCGTTGCTTACTTTGGGAGGAAAAGAGGACGGTGGGGTGGGGGAGGGGGGGGGGGAAGTAAGGAACAGTTATAACTCATTGTTTACCATCAAGGCATGATCTATACCTAAACAAACGGCTAATTTTCTCAGTTTTACAAAAAAAAAAAAAGGGAAAGCAAAAATCAAATCATGTACAAGGCTTAGTACCAATATCACAAGCACATATTGGACTCTTCAACTGGAAAAATCACTAAAGGGTAAAAAAAAAAAAAGAAGAAAAAATCGCAACCGAAGCAAAATGTACGTAATAACAAAGTTCAGATGATTTTCATCTATATGACGATGACAAGTCATGTTTATATAGGCAATAAGTGACACACTAGTTGTTGCTTTTGCAGATGTTTTGTTTTAATAAGCTCGTAATAGAGCATTTGTATTGTTTTTTGAGAGTGAGTGGATTCAATGAGAATCCTTGCCATTTTTGCTGCAGATTTTGAGTTGCCTTCTCAAATCTTTAGATCTTGTTCTGGACAAGGCTTTTATAAGAAGCTTTGATATCATTTTATTGGTTTTTTTAAGGTATAAACTAAGAAACAATATCTTAATTAGTGTTGTAAAAAAAAACTGCTTACAAAAGGCTTGTATTGAAGGTTGAAAGTAACTTTATATTTTTCATTTATCAACTCACTATTTGTGGTGTTTACATTAAACAAATTAATATTAATTTCTAACTAACAATTATCCTAAAAAATCTCAACAAAATATAAACTAAATCTTAGCAAAAATATTTGTTAACAACTCAACATGCTTTTTTGTTAACAATATATCCTAACAACTTAATTTATTTAATAATTAACTAAATTATTCTAGTGCCAAATGAATCTAGAAAAATCTGTAAAAATTGACATATCTCAACAATTTGCATACAAGTTGTCTACATACATGTAGTGCATTATTTTTTAAAATAATTTTATTATTCTTAACTTAACACAATAAAGAACCTAAACATACTGAAAACCATAAAAAATGTTTAACTAATAAAAACAACTCCAAAGAATCTCTTCTAAATATGCTCATCTTGAAAAAGAGAATGTAACAAATCATTCATACTTGTTGCATATCTTGCAGTCTTGTTTGCAAAGCATTTTCCTCCAAATTTTTTTTTTGGTTTTTCATGAATATATTTTTTAATCATCTTTTTATCTCACATGCTTCTTTTTTATTTCCCCTAAGCTAGATTTTTTTATTTCCATGCTTCTTTTTACCGGATCTCCCATCTTGCAGCAAAAGAGAAGAAATAGATGACTTTTAAAGAGGGATCTCTCTGTAATTTTGAGTGAGAAATAAAGGCAAGAGATTCATGGATGACGGATGGAGAAAATAGTATCCTTTACCTAGTTGTGACTGAAAGATTAAGCTAAAACCTCATATATGTTCTATTGTATAACTCCTATTCTGCTGCTATAGTTTTTTTTTTTTGTGGCCCCGTTCTTCTTGCTTTCTTGAATACTCAATAGTCAGAACCTTTGCTTAGAGTTTCTTTTTTTCTTTTCAGGATTGAATTGTAAATTTTTTTAAACAAATTTTTACGTGTTTTTCATAAATATTTATTTCTATAATTTTAAATTATTTTTATCTCATATACATCATATCAAAAAAAAATGCTACAATGATTTTTTCCCTAAAAACTCTCCAAAAAATGCAATCCAAATGGGCTCAAGAGAGAGGAATTTCCCTATAATTTTTAGTGAAAAAGGGGAAGGAAGAAAGGAAGAGAGTGAACCAGACCAACCAGACAGAGATAGAGAGATTATAAAGGTTTTGCCCCCAAGGAATAGTCTAGTGGTAAAGTGGATTTTTGAACTGAATAAGATTCTGGATTCGAATATTTTCCTAAAACTTAAACCCCGCTATCTAACTTGGGTGCGTCGTGAGGGGTTATGGCGTATCCCCCGATTTGGTGTGTCGGCTCGGGTCCAAAGTGAATCGAGTCGGGCATGTACCAGATCACAACAAAAAAGGGGGTTATAAAGGCTTGGCAAAAACGAAAAAACAGAAAATGTGAAGGAAAACACAGTAACGACGCATATAAGAAGCATTTCAAATGTCAAAAAAGCACCAATCAATTGACACAAAGGCAGAGTAACCAGAGGAGACCAGATTGCACTGTTCATTTGTCAACTCTCCCTTGTTTTTCAATAGTGTAGATATGTAGATTGTCGACAAGGATGTCGCAGGACAGAAGTTCCAACTCCAATTCCACACTTAAAGAGTGCAAAGTCAAAGTGTGGCAGCTTTCTCACATCAGCTCTATTTGCCTATTCTTGAGATTTAACCATCTGCTCCGTTTTCTCTTTTGAGGTATTCTTCGTCCTTCACTCTTATGTCTTAGTACTTGTTACTGATGAAATAAAGGGGTAATTATGTAGTTGCTGAAATGGATTTCAATGGGAGTAATGGATAATTTGTGGATCCGTTTTCTTCAGGGGTACATGACTTTCAGTTCCTATCTTCAGTTAGGGTAATATGCAAATATATATCCATTAAGTTTCGTCTGGTTCTGTTCATTTAGAAAATACTTCTATTAATTGCATAACTCTGCTTTGATTCTGGCTTTAATGTGTTATTGCTTGTTTCTACTAAGGAAATTATGCTACCATGGACAATCACACATGTACCTCCTTCCATCACCATCCCTGAAAGCCTCGTATAGAGGAAAGTTTTATCTTAGAACTTTATATTAAGCCTGCTGCCATTAATGGAAGTCTCTCCAGTCATTAATACACAAAATTCCCTTCTGATCCTTGTTCTACACCCTTCCAATTTTCTTCCTAATGTACTATATAATGAAAATTTCACTATCCTGTATAATAGAACATAAAGCACAAGATGAATATTTTGCTCGCACCTCTTGTTGCAGTCAAAACGGAAAACAAAAGACAGCTTCGCTGTTTATCATTTTTTTTTTTTAATTTTCCCTCCCAGTTTAAAGAAAATCTTATTGGTTGAAAAAGAACAATTGGCTCCCCATTACTTTCTTCTTGCCTTATTGCCTTACTTTGAGCATTCAACAAACATATTTATGTACTTGTCTTACTTTTTCTTTTGATTTCTTCTTGCCGGTTCCAAGTTCAAAACCAACAAACATGAGTTTTCTTCTACTTGTCAACAGAGAAAGGACTGGTCAAGAACAAAGTCAGGTTTCATCAACTGACTGGAATGGAAGCTGAAGAAAAAGTTGTAATTGTTGTTGATCCTGGAAGTGAGGTCAAAATCAGTGTCAATACTTCCAAGCCTATCCCCCCTGGGCAAGTAGAATTACCAAGGTACACACACTACTCTGCAAGCGCAATACATTTAGCATCCTTGATCAACGATAAGTTATCCATGCTAGCTTCAGATCCTCTTAATTATGGTACAGTTTGTATCTATAGAGTTCCTGAGAAACACAGGAGGAAAAATGAAGAAGCCTATACGCCTCGGTTAGTCTCGATTGGTCCCCTTCACCATGGTGATGCCCAGTTGAAAGCCATGGAAGAATACAAATTAAAGTATCTAAACAATTTCCTGCACACTTTTAAAATTCCACTAGAACTTTTGGCAGAATATGCCCATAGTCAGGAGAAGAATGTATGTGGTTGTTATGAAGATACCTACATCCGAGATCTCTCGAAATTATCAGAAGTGATTTTGTTTGATGGTATTTTTATCATTGAGCTCTTCTTAAAGAACTACTTTCCTGAAATGAGAGAGATGGGTGATACGATATTTGAAAATCGTTGGGTGTCAAGTGATATAGTGCACGATTTGCTGCTTTTAGAAAACCAACTTCCTATGAGGTTCATTGCTACAATGTATAATGGTTTTGTTTCCCGAAAACTGAGCAAGTTTTTGGATAATGAGACTGACGAGCCGCCATCTTTCGATAAACTAGCTTTTGAGTACTTAAAGAATGTAGGGAACACCAGGAAACTAGAGCCGAGTACGACCCATTCATTTCCTCGTGCAAGGCATCTGGTTGAGTTCCTAGCAGTGCTTCATAGGCCATCACATCCAAGAGCTGAACCAGAAGAAGGAAAGAAAGTGGAATTTGGCAAATGTGCTACTGCAACTAAGTTGCGGGCAGCGGGAGTAAAGTTCAGTCATGGAGCAGAAAAATGTTTATTTGATGTACGCTTTGAGAAAGGGGAGTTAGTAATTCCACAGCTCACCGTAAATGATTTCACAGAGACTTTTTACCGGAATCTGATAGCCTTTGAACAGTGTGGCTATAATTCCAAGGACATAACAAGCTATGTTATTCTGATGGATAACTTGATAGACACCCCCAAGGATGTTGATCTACTCATTGAACATAAAATCATTGTGAATGAACTTGGAAGCAGTGAACAGGTGGCAGATGTTTTCAACAATCTCTACAAAGAGATTGTAACGGATCCAAAGGAGTTTTATTTTGCTAACCTCTGCAATCAACTGAATGAATACAGCAGAGACTGGCTGCACAAGTTGGTGACAAAGTTAACCGAGTGGATTGCAAGCCTACGCCGTGATTATTTTCAGAGTCCATGGGCTATCATCTCTTTTATTGCTGCCTGTATACTGCTAGTTCTTACTGTTATTCAGACAGCATGCTCTATACTTCAGGTGTAAGCTCAAATCTCCTTGTAAGTTTCTTCAGAAGTGTAAGTTATTCAGCATTTCATGTGTGTGTGTGTGTGTTTTCCCTTTCCGGTTACTGAAGCTATCCTTGTAATTTGTTGTCGCATGATTGAAATCTGAAGATCACCTCCGCTTTTGTAAAAGTGAAATAACATTTTTTGCACATCTTGCTTGACTCTTTACGTTGTACTTTCTCTTTCCTTTTCATCTAATTATTCAATTTAATAAGATTACAGAGTCCCTATCTTTTGGTGTGAAAAATGCAAAGGGTGAAGTAATAGGTTTTTTCATAGTACTGAGTTTGATAATATTGGATGGGACAGGATTGTATAAAGCAAGTGTTAGGTAAAAAATGGAGGAGATTTTAGTCCAAACTCAATTCAATTAAATCAAAACTTGACTCGAATCAATTTGTTTGCAGCCCTACACCAGCCAAAAAAAAAAAAAATACTCCCAAAAATTTTGTACACTTAAAACACAGTCGGATGAACTCAATATGTTAAAAAAGGAAAGTAGAAATCCAAAGGAGTAATTTTCTACCAATTCTATAGGCAGAATTAGTTGGCCGTAGTACTTGCTCAAAACAGAATTTAATTGATATCGGAATCTAAACTTCTATTTCTGTCCGTTTGAATTCCAGTATTGTCTGCTTCAGGTTAATATACCCTTCTCTTTTCCTGTTAGTTAAGGGGCTGCAAATGTTTAAATTAAACTTGGCCTCCCTAGTCTTGTAGATATCTAAGTTTTGCCCAAAACTTCCCCTTCTTCTCTCCTTTCCCCTTCCTGAACTCCCATCAATACGTTGTGGTTGACTCCCATCAGTTCGGAAGTATTCTGCTTCGGTCCCTCTCTCCTTCCCTTTCTTCTTCATTTTTATTTTTATTTTTTTGAGAGTGAAACATATAAGATGTCTATTCCAATGGGCCAAGAAATTTAATGCAATATTGAAATGTTCAATGAAATTGACCATTTTTTGTCTTCTATGACTAGTTCTCCCTATTGAATGGTTTGAATAGGAAAGGCCTTTCCAATTTGTCTATTTCATTTGTGTTTAATATGGCTCATTTAAGCGAGAAAGCCCTTTATCTCTAGGATACTCATTCCAAATTTTTTAAATTCCACTAATTGACTACTACATTTGGAAGCTATTGTTGACAAAAAGAAATTCGTTTGAGAGCGATAATGGCTACCCGAGTCTTTTCCTTGAAGTAATTCCACTAATTGATTACTACTTTTTGAAAGCAATTGTTGAGGTTGATGAAATGAGTTTATTTTTGAGAGCGTTGATGTATCATCTTGACTTAAAAAGTCTTTTGGAATAGAGTAAAAAAGTCATTTTCATTTTAGAGAACTGATATATATCATCTTGACATTTTAATCGAGGAGTTTATTTAAACTTAATGATAGCGCGCAATTTTATCATATATTTTATTATTAATTTCCTCTATTACCTGACTTGATGTGGATTAATTTCTCCATTTCCTTGCAGGTTGGAGAAACCGAAGAAATAGGACAAAGAGAAGGAGATCCTAGAGGTGTTCCGCAAGGTAGAGATCAATATCCCCTTATTAGATGCTATCAAACAAACAATTGCCGAAGTATGCAAAATTTTTTAGGGACCTATGTGTCAACCGAAAGCGGCTGAGGGGAGACGAAAGAATCATTGTTGGGGAGAATGTGTCAGCAGTTCTCCAAAGGAAGCTTCCACCAAAGTGCGGGGATCCAGATAGGTTTACTGTCCCATGTAAGATAGGTAATACTCTAATTAGGAATACCCTGCTGGACTTAGGAGCATCGATCAACATAATGCCTAAATCTATGTATGCTTCTCTGAACCTCGGTCCATTAAAAGAAACCGAGATAATAATTCAATTAGCTGACCGAACAAATGCATACTCTGATGGGTTGATAGAAGATGTGCTGGTTAAAGTTAATGAATTGATATTCCCGGCTGACTTTTATGTACTTGACATGGATGATGATCATTCCCCTGACCCCTCACCTTTGCTACTAGGTAGACCCTTTTTAAGCACAGCACAGACAAAAATTGACGTTAATAAGGGTACATTGTCCATGAAATTTGATGGAGAACTAGTCCACTTTAATATTTTCGATACAATGGAACATCCTGTTAACTCTCACCCTGTGTTTGCTATTCATGCTATTAATCCCTCTGTGCAAGAATTTTCTGAGTTTGCTTGTAGGGATAAATTCAAATTTACTGAGAACAAGTATAAGGGGATGAAAGCACTGTATGAGGTGAAAAGGAGTAGAAAATTAAGAAAGGAGGCTGCCCTCAAAGGCAATTTGGATCCTGGAGGAGGGCCACCGATTTCCAGGAAAATTGAGTTACACCCAGATTGAAGAGTGGTGTTCAATGTCTAGCCAAAGACGTTAAAGAAAGGCGCTCATTGGGAGGCAACCCAATTATTTCTTTTAATTGTTTGTTTTAATTTCGTGTGATAGTTTAAATATGTTTTCCTTGAATTTGACTGATTTCGGGTTTCAATTTTCGTTTTTTATGATTTGTAGGTGTCCTTCTGTCATGACGCGCCCGCGTAATGACGTATGGAGAGTTCACAGTCAGAATCGTCAGAAGGGGTTCTTGCCCTCATGACGCGCCAGCGTCATGACGTATGGAGAGCTCACGGTTAGAATCGTCAGAAGAGACTCTTGCCCTCTTGACGTGCCCGCGTCAAGTAACCTGGAGAGCTCCTCATTCCGTGCCTTCGTCACGTGCCCACGTCATGTTCGCGGGAAAGGCAAGCATTCAAAAGAAAAACTCAAAACCGGTTAGTGATTCCCTGTTAGTCTCTAATTTTGAATTTCAAAGTTGAGTTTTGAAATAATAATAAAAAAAAAAAGAAGAAGAAAATAAAAAAAAAAATTTAATTAACACAAAAATAAAAAAATATAAAAATAAGATATATATATATATATAAAAAAAACAACAACAACAAAAAAAACAAAAAAAAAATTTTCCTTTTCACCGTAGCTGAAATTTCCAAAAAAAAAAAAAAAATCTTTCTTTCTTTCTTTCTTTTTCCTTCTTTTCTTTTCTTTCTTTTTCTTTCTTTCCTCTTTTTCTTTCTTTCTCTTTTCTTTCTTTCTTCTCCATTGTTTCCATTATCTCTGTCGACCGAGAGCTCGTGCGCCGCCGTCGCTCTCCAACCACGTGCGCGCCGCCTACGCCGCCAACAACGGCTGCGAGCTACCGCCCTTTGCGTGCGCCACCACCAAGTCTCGCCCCTCCCATCTCTCTCTCTTCTCGCGACCTCCACGGCCGAGCAACCCGCGCCGCCTCCATTCCAGTTTGTTCGCCGCTGAAGCTCGATCCGCCGCCACTGCACGGTTTTCTTCCACCGCCCTCCAGCATTAGCTCCGCCGTCCGCAGTCAGTTGCCACAGCTCGGCAGCCTAAGCTCTCCACCCGCGACTCCACCCTCTCACGCCGCCTCTCACCGCCAGGCCACGCCGCGTCGGCTACTACCGCTCCAGTTCTTTGTTTGGCGGCCAGTAGAGGTATTTCAACCTCGATCCCAAAATTTTTGGTGTTGATTGGTATCGTTTAGCGGCTGAGTTGTTTTCCTCCGGATTTGTTCATTCTCTGTTGTTGCCTCCCTAATTGAGAGCACGGAGTTGAGTACAATTGTTTTGGGTTGTTGGGTGTTTGACAGTTGCCCTGCTCTTAGCCTCTTTGATTAGCATATTCGTTGAAATTAGTTGTGCTCTGGCACAGTGCGGGGAGGCATTTGTTCAACTTTTGGGTGGAATTGTTGAGTTTTTGGGTGAGCTGAAATACTGTAATTGCTTAAATTGTTGGGACTATAGTGGCGCAATTTCTGGGTTGTTTGTTGATCGGAAGGGCATTGTGACCCCTGTATCGCTTCTTGAAGTTGGTTAACTAATTTTGGTTTACTGGGTGTGTTTAGTCTCTTGATTTCACTTGCCTTCCGTAGTCGTTTCAATTGAGTTCATTTGCTACCTTTGTTGGAGCATCTGTTGTGAGTGTGGCATTGTATAGCTTCTACTGTTGGCTGATGCATTGGGGGCCATAGGTAGCATTTACTCTGCTCTGTTATAGCTATTTCATTGATTTTGGACTACGTTTTGCACCAGTGGTACTGGTTGGGGTATTTTGACTAGCATTTGTTATTTCCAATTGGTTGGCTACCTGATTGTGATTGTGTGGTTATTCTCCAATTTCTATACTGCTATTGCTGAAATTGCCGCTTTTGAGTTGAGAAATTAACTGTCCACTTGGAGGCTTTGTTGAGATTTTGGGTGGACAGAGTTTTGCATTTGCTGGTTGAATTGAGTTAAGATGTTTCAGCACTTGGGTGCATACTTCCGCCACATCAGTTTTCCTCCACTGTTCCCGCCTACCCCTTCGCCACTCGAGAGGGAAGTTTCATTGTTCTCTTCACTTTAATTACTTTATTACCTCCATTGAGAACAATGTAGGATTTAGGTGTGGGGGGGAGCAGTTATGGTAGTAGTTTTTCTAGTTCTTAGTTTTCAGATATTTTTCTTTTATTTTTCGTTTGTTATTTGTCTAGTTTTCGCTTACTTTTTGTCATTTATCTGTCTAGCTCTCCTATGACTGCCAAGTTTGATGTTGGATTGTTGCCTCTATTTCTACTATTGCCAAATTTTAATAATAAAAGTGTATCAAGTTAATGTGGTTGAGTCCAAAAACATCTCTTTGGTGAATATCGGTGATTGTTTTACTCTTATAATTTTTGGTTAACTTTTCTAGGCATTGGGGATGATTGTTGGCATTTTCATGTGAGTTGGTCCGGTTATTAACCTTAGTTCTCCATGTTTGAAAATGAGGCTAGCTGATGCAATTTTCTTTTGATTTTTGTGTTATATTGAGTTTTTGTGTTATTTAGCTGAGAATAAGAGTTGACTGTACTCCGCTAGTCTTTACTACCGAGTAACCGGGAGTTTTCACCAAAAGTGTCGATTCTCGCGTCAAAAAATAGTAATTGCTATGAGTACGTGGTCACGTGGCGATAGAAGCTGAGTAACCGGGC